AACTAACCGAGATCACCCATAATCTGTGTAGAATTTTCTTTATTGATAATGTACTAACTGAATGCAATATTCTGTAGTAAAATGCTGAGAATTCCATTCTGTATTCGCAAATACTGTTTTGTAATAAAGCATATAATTATTATTATTTGCGTAATATTATTCTTCCCATGAGTTCTTAGTGGAACGTACGGAGTGAAAAGCACATCTTCAACTACACTCTTTCCTCTGCAGTCCAACTTATCCTTATGATTTCGTCTCTATTCTGTGAAGAAATCAGAGTGTGGTAATAGTGATAGTAGTAGATGATTGTTAAGTGAGATAGTTTCTTCTCTTTCTCTATGTTTATCATGTGACTTTTATCGTTTGATTGCTTTTCATTTGCTAACCTAATTTCACTATCTTAAAATGTTCAGTACCTTCAGCTGAACTGTGTGTGCGTGTGAATATAATTTCCAACCCTGGATATATGTAGGTAGAATAATTATATAACATAAAGTGGAATCAAATACAAAATGTGTTTGTTTCCCTGGATGCAAACAAAACGCTGAATCGAAAATCTTTACGAGTTGAAAAATACAAACAGAACAAAACAAACACAAGCAAAAAGAAATCACTGACAAGCGTCAGTGTGCGCACGTGTAAACATCTATTTGTTTGTATGCATCAAATTATACAAGGTTTCACACAATGAAGAAAATCATTTACAGTCAGTCTTATCGGCAGTTTTGAGGGAATGTATAAAAAGTGTGGATTTGAATTTATTATTATTATTATTAGTAGTAGTACTATTATTAATGCAGTCACTCTGTTGAAAGTGTGAAACGTGACAAGAGGAAGAATAAACAGAAAGTCGGGTCGTACAAAATGTTTACACACTGTACATAATCCTCAGTGTGATTGTTGGCATCACTTTTTCTCTTCATACAGGATTTTCAAGTCAATTAGCAGTCAAAATTTCATCTTGAGATGACATCGGTTAGAGAATGATTGGAAAACCATCTGGTAGTGCTGGACACTGTTTCGTCAGCCTAATTTGCGACTCTTTATCAGTAGGCGACCACCACCGCCGCCAGGGTTCGAACCCAGTGAAGGTAGTAGACCGAACAGCCACTGGGATTTTATTCCATGACCAGCGCATGAATTCAAACTTCTAATAATTTGTGAATTTTTTTTAGCGCGGCCATCAGCCAGTGTCATCGATGGCTAGTATTTTTCATCACTTCCCGAGTGAGTGAACCTCACTCACTACTTCTCACTAGAACTCTAGGCAACTTTGTCCTGAAGCCGTTCACTGGCAAGCATCAGAATAATTCCCAATAGTTAGTTTGAAATAATTCAAATCTCTATTGACTAACTTGTGAAGATAGATATATTTGTCTAAATCAGCAAGAATCCCACGTTTAGAAATAAAAAAATCTCTAGTAATCTTAGGTGAAATATTCAGTCAGCTGAATAATGGATTAAAATTTCCTATTATTCATTTGAAGAGGCTGGGTCTAATGAACAAGTGACTGGCTGGAGATATCGGGTTCTGAAGAATCAATGGATGGACACTATTGGTGATATGGTTGAATGCCTCAGGTGTATTTACTCTGTGTGTTTCTACGTCCATTAAACCCTCATCGTTTTTTTTTCAATGTTATTATCCTTTTTCTCTGTTATTTAAACATAACAATTCCTTAGGGTTTGCAGATGTTGCTTGCTAATGTTGATTCTAATATATTAAATATTTCCATAGTAAAATTTAGAACAAGACATTTAAGCGAACAATATTGTTTTCAATTAGATCTCATCAGGCTTAACTCTAATACATATATAAGTTTACAAATAAAAATTCAAATATAAACCAATCATGGTGTTTTGTCTATAGGATAATACTTAAAACAATTAGTCCCTTTGATAAATTTGAACAAGGCATTAAGAAGACAAATTTCGCGAGATTATATCATTTCGTAGTTTCTTTACAACCGCTTTACAACTAACATGGTTAACAATGATAAAATAAAGATCATGAAAATTACAATACTAATGACCAATCATATTAAGATAGGTCATGCAGTCCAGGGTAGGCGAAGATTGAAGTCTATTGTTTTTTGTACACACAGTTTAGGCTGTATGTGATTAATCCAAAGTGCTTCCATCACCTTCAATAACCTTGAATTAGAGTTATGTGAAATAATTGTGAAACAGTCATTAATATTGATTTTGTGACCAGACATTAATAAGTGTTTTGCAATGGATGATGCTGGATTTCTATTCAGATTAATAATCGCGTTGGGATTTTCGATATGATTTACTAGCCATTTTGGAATATGTTCTTTTCGACGACATTGGAACATTCTGTTAGTTCTACCTATATAGGTGTCACCGCAGCTGCAGGTGAACTTGTAGATACAGTTTGAAGTAGGTCCACAGAATTTCGTCCTTTAATCGTAGGAACAGGGATCGAAAATGTTCGGCAAGTGAGAAAAAGAGATGTGGTGGCGTAGAATGTGCGTTTGATGGCTGATCGTAGTCTTTGAGTTGTCAACTGCATAATCTGGTCGGCCTTGAATGGTAGATTAATAAAGATGGCTTTCTTTGGTACAGAAGCTGTGTATTCGAGATGTGGTTTTTCTTTTCATGAACTTTATTTTATCATTGTTAACCATGTTAGTTGTAAAGCGGTTGTAAAGAAACTACGAAATGATATAATCTCGCGAAATTTGTCTTCTTAATGCCTTGTTCAAATTTATCAAAGGGACTAATTGTTTTAAGTATTATCCTATAGACAAAACACCATGATTGGTTTATATTTGAATTTTTATTTGTAAACTTATATATGTATTAGAGTTAAGCCTGATGAGATCTAATTGAAAACATTATTGTTTGCTTAAATGTGTTGTTCTAATGTTGATTCTCTCCTACCATTTTGAATAAACAAACTTTCGAAAATTTGAACATACTTAAGAAGCGCACATTATGCTATATAAAAAGGAAAAGTTGATTCCTTCGAATATAGTTATATGAAAACGTTAAAATAAAATGATAATAAAGGCATGTTGTGTCTATCAGATGATAAAGGTCTAATCAGCGAATTATACTGACTGGGAAAATAGGAGAAACAACGAGGTAATGAAAACTACTAATCCTTTATGCAAATGAAATACTAAATTTTCAATAGTTTGGTTTGTAAGGATTAGTTTTATTTGTACGAGTTGATCACAGATTGATATCAGTTAGAGAACCATTGAAAACCAGCGACAGGGAGTACTGTACAGCTGTTTCATTCTAGTTTGAGAATTATCGGCAGAACGCACCCACCACAGGGGGGGGGTTCGAACTGAGGACCTCCCGGTTACCAGACAGGCTCAGTGGCTGAATGGTATACGAGCTCCCCTTGTAGCCTGAATGTCCTGGGTTCAAACCCCCCTGTGGTGGGTGCATTCTGCCGATAATTCTCAAACTAGAATGAAACAGCTGTACAGTACTTCCTGTCGCTGGTTTTCAATGGTCCTCTAACTGATATCAGTCCATGATCAACTCGTAAAAACTAAATTTTCAAATATTTGGTTCAAACAGAGAGATTAAAATAATTTGAAATAATACAGAAGATTTTTTTAGCTCAAGTGAACGATTTTGATGTGTTTGCAGTTTCTGAGCTGAGTGCTTCAGTTGTGAAGCTTTTAGCTGGTCATGTTGCTGGAATTCTCCATGAATGATATAATTATTTCTCCTTTAGGAAGTTTTATCATGATTTGTCGTTAGGGTGCACCAGTACTGATCGTTTTTATTGACTTGGAATCCAACCTTTTTGTGCTACTTAGCTTATTTTTTATGACTGATGAATTTCTTATAAAGTAATATGTCTGCTAATAGAGGATTTGTTTGAGTACTCAGCTTCTAAGAATTGCCAGGCCTCCATTAATGTTTCCCCTGCTTAAAACGTCTACATTTTTCCATGAAAATTAGTGTTCATATAATAGTCCACATTCAGCGATATGTAAGCATAAATGTCATGTTTTCTGACGTGTTTTCTGTTTTATTCCTTTGCTTTCCCAGTGGAAAATATGGCGTCAAGCTAAAGCTTTGAAGTTTCGGTAGCCTAGCGGCGCTAGTCTCCCTCCTAAGCTCTCCTTCATTGCCTAGCTTATTACCAGTTACGTGAGGTTTGGGAGTGCGTTGACCAGAGGTCAAACATTCGAACACCTGATTGTTTCCGCATTGGGAGTTGAAAGATACGTCCACTTCGAACAGTATAATGTTTGTCACACTGTTCATGGAATTTAATTTATTCATGGTGTTGATCTCTTCTTTTATGGCTTTTAGATGGGTCTTTTGATTGGACACTAGTAACTAGTGTGATATGTCTAGTCCTTTCTTTGGTGCAGACTGAATTCTATCAGTCAGTTTTGTAATGTGGCCACCATTCTAGGTAGCTCGCTAGCCATCACGATGAACATTGATTTGATGGTGTTAAATAGTTGTGGGCAATCACAGGAAGCCTTGTACCTAGGTTTCGTGCTAGTTGATAGTCATCACCAAAGCGAGCTCAGTGGTAACATCTCTGACTTCAGCACTGGGTGACGCAGGTTCGAATCTCAGAAGGGACATGAGTTCCTTCAAGATGGTTGCAGATACGCCTTGCTGATGAGTGCCAACTAGCAAGAAACCTAGGTCAAGCAAGGTTTCCTGTGGCCGATCGCCTCCAACTATTTAATATCATCAGATGGGTATTGTGCTCTGCATTAGACGACTGCACGAAGTGACTGTACCATATTGATTCCGAATGATTTTAATAATCCAACTTTTTCATTTCAGAAACATTCTTTATGTGTGTTGTAGGGTGAATTTTCTTGTGGCTTCTAAAGAAACGCTTTCTTACTGATAATATGATTTGGTTCAGATATTTTCTGATAAAGTTATTTCTAAAATTAAATGATTGTGGTTTTTTTTTCATTAGATATCAACTGTTTGTTATCATGTTTATTCCTATTACTTTCCTGTTATTTATATTTCAGGACAATTCATTCATTTTTCGTACAATCTACGATTTATCTTTCTTTGTTATCGTGATTGTTATCATACTCAACTTGATATTTGGTGTTATTGTCGACACCTTTGCAGCACTTCGTCAAGAAAAACAAAATTCTGAAGAATTAAATAAAAATCATTGTTGTGTTTGTGGTGAGTAAATGTTTCTTTCTTTTTTTTTTTTAATGCAGTCCAATGTTCACTAGGAATTTTTTTTGGTTGTATGTTCTTTCTTAATTTAGTTTAATATGACATTTATTCAACGATCATTTTCAGTTTTTATCCTGGACATAACTGGTATGAAGTGCAAACGTTGAAGAAGGTTTTTTCTTTCAATCTTATCCTTATTTTAGTGCCTATGGATTCAGTATGCTGAAAAAAATTAGTATAATCAACACTGGTGGTTCATCTATCTGTGATAGTCGTCGGTTGAGATAATGACTAATAAGATGAGACAGATGCAGTTGATTTAAACCCCCCCCGAGGATCTCGTTCACCGCACATGTACAGCTTTCCAAAGACACACAATAAACAAGTTCTACTGAGATCTATGCTTTTGGTAATAAACTCGCCTAAGCATAAGGTTGTTCGTTGGTTTGCGAAGAAGTTAGAACGATAGATGATTTATTTCATTTCACCGAAAGTGTGAACCGAATGAACGTTGCAGATAAGTTCATGAAGTCATTTGGTATAACTGCCTTTTTCACATTGATTCCAATCAGATCATTTGTCAGCAGTCTGATCTCTCACTCTCAGATTTGTGTACCTTGGATGTACAATTCCAGTTTGATAACAATCTTTGCCGATAAATACATGGTTTAGGTTTGGATAGTCCACTTAACCATGTTTAAGCAGATATACTTGTGTTTAATCTTGACGAAAAACTTGTTGTCGACATGTCGATGACACATTTGTAGTGTGTAACAATAAAAGTCATGCTTCTCACCTATTGAGATTATTCAACGACGCACATACCAATATTGAATTCACTATGGAACATGAAAGTGACATTGCCATGCAACTCCAAGAAGATGATAGTCTTCAGAAGTCAATATGCCGAAAGCCTACATGGAAAGGCAATACCTACATTTTAATAGTTTTTTATCCAAAAAGTTATAAACGAGCATTAGTCAAGGCTCTGCCATAGAACTGAGAGACTGTGCTATACAGAGAAATTAAAGGAAGAATTTATGTTTCTCGACCGAGCACTTCCGTACACTCAATCGACGGGAAAATCTAAAAATTTAATTAAATTAACATGACTCTTTGCACAAGAGGTGGCTCTCGTGGCCCAAGTGGTCTAGTAGATAGCGCTTTGGCGTTCGAAACTATGGGCACTGGGTTCCAGCCTCGGTGGGAACATCATCACTCACTAGGGAAATGCAGGTACATCCAGCTGACGAGTCCCAAACAGGATGAAATACGCTTTATCCTGGATTCCACTGCTAGTCACCATCCGCCAATCAAATTGCAAGTGTTACTGTCTATAGTTTTTAATTGAAATACATCAGACATTTTGTACTTATTCTTAAAAACTGGACTATTTTGAAAATAAGTTGTTCGGGAAATCTTTTATTTTAAATAAGACGAGGCAGCAACATGGATAAGCTTAAAGGGATATACTTAAATGGTTTAGCCAACCATTTAGTTGACTTGAAACTATTTTCGTGTTTTTCATTATCAGTCTTGATAGGATACTGTTTTGAGTCTTTCAACTTGTCTAATATTTACAGAAAAGACAATTAATAAGGGTGGAAATTAACAATCAACCATAATAAAGTTTGTTAAGAGATACGCATATATCATTCATGGATAATTCAAATAGGTGGAGTTTCCACTGAAGCGATTTTGTCCAGAATGACAATGAAAACCTCACAATTAAGTAGGCTAGCTTAGAGAATGCAACCGCTTCAAAATCATCCGCCTGAGTAACAAATAATAATAATAATAACAGCTTTATTCCAAACGGTATTTGTGGTACAGGTATGGAATTTTCAGCGTGCATTACAGTATATTGCATCTAATTACCTCATAAATTATATAAGATTTTTAAAAATCAAAGATAAATAAATAAAAATAAAATAAATAAGTTATAAATAAATAAAATAAATAAAAATTAAAAATTAAGAAAAAAACAGCGTAGAGTATTACATTTTAAACAATGCACCACAGGATTTGAAATATAAAGTTGATGTGTGATAGAAGATGAGAACAACAGTGTAATAGTAACGAGGAAAGGAAAACAAACTAATGGGACTATTTGTTAGAGTGCTGCAGTAAGTTGATCGTGTCATACCTAACGTATTTCTCATCACATAACAGCTGTGGCAGATATGGTATTGTGTTTTTGTATTTGGTAGTCCTAGCATATAGCCTCCTATAGCTGCTTATAGTTCTACCAGATGAAATGCAAGGAGATAGATGCGTATAGAGAGGATGCTCTATTATGTATATGTATATATTTTTATTTTATTTTATTTTTTTTGTTGTAGCGAAAAAACTGTGTGAAATCACAGTAATTTCGCTACAGCTATGGAATTTTCAGCATATGATATCGGTGGCCCAAATTTATCAGGCTGACCATTGATCTCAGGTGTGTATCGGCCATGGATCGAACCCATACCATGTGCATGGGGGGTGGGAATCTTGACCGCTGTGCCACCGACGCACAAGCCAGCTCTTGGACCGGGAATCAAACCTGGGTCTTACAACTGACACGCGGAGATACTTACCAATATATATATGTATATATCACATGAAATAAGTTTAAGTTTTTAGACTTAAAAAATCTAATTCAAGAGTTAATTCTTTTTCAAAAGTTGTACTTTTTCAAACTACGATCATTTCAGAAATAAAAAGAAAAACCTGAAATCTGTGTTTCAGATGAGGACAATTTCATGTTCAGATTGGCTTTCCTTCATCAGTAAAGGAACATCTGTTTTTATCTCTAGGCGGGTTGTAATTAGGTCATGAGTGAAGTTATAAAAAATAAACAGGGAAATAAATCACAAACTACGAAGAAATAATGAAATACTTAAAAAAATAATTGATTCAATCTGCTTCAACTCAGTGTGTTTTTATTTTCCTTCAGTTTTTTGAATGTCATTTCAGCAGACATCATTCTTTAATTAATTTGCTGGTCAATTCCAGTTGGCGATCTTCAAAATTCTTTCCAGAAACATTTATGGCTGTTATTAGATTTATAGATAAAAATATGGTTTCAAAATGTTTTACTGATAAAATCTTCCAAATTCACAAACTAACTAACGAACTAACTAACTAACTACGTCAATGTCTGTATTCGCAAGCTACTGCTTAACTGAAACATTTTGAACCTAATGCCCTTTGTGAAAAAGCAATAAGAATTCTTGGAATAGAATAAGACGGATCCACCATTTATTTTGTCAGCTGTATACAAGCTAACTGATGAAACTTTAGTGCCTCTGATTGAAGTTTAAGGTAGTTTAATTCATTGGAGATAAATAGTGAAATAATATTTATGGATGACTAGGTCATACGGATGACTCGAAATATTAACTTAGCAAAATGTAGACAAATCGAAATCTACATTAGATAAAAGATGATATTATCAATTAAGGTTGAAAAACCGCCTTGCCAAATCAGAGAAAAAATTAAAATAGCTATTTTCAATATATACAAATCAACTTTTAACTATATGACAGACAGTGGATGTGTGGATTTCAGGAGGGATGAGCTTAATCTTCTGCTTATTATGTTGAATAGATTCAACATGTTCACCTGAGATGTCCTGTGTGTCAATCAGATGTCTTCTGACGCAGCTTTTCACTTATTAAGTACCTCTTATTCATGTCAAGAAAATCTAACGTAGGATTTAATTATGAGTTGATATTGGCTGGAGAACCATTGGAAAACCACCTAGGAGTACTGGACAGCTGTTTTGTCCTAGTTCTGGACTCTTCTGCAGTACGCACCCATCGAGGTTCGAACCGAAGACATTCTGGTTACAAGGCTAGTGGGCTCGTATACCATTAAGCTACTGGGACCCGATCCAATGGCCAACCCATGAATTCTAACTTCTGGCAGTTCACGACATACCGCGACCCTAGCCAGTGTCTTCGGCGAGTATTCATCCTCACACCCGACCTGCTACACCCTACTAGTCACTGTCGTGAATTGGTAGCAGTTAGAATTCATGGGCCATTGGATCGGATCTCAGTGGCCTAATGGTATACGAGCTCACCTTGTGATCAGAAGGTCTTGGATTCGAAACCCGCATTGTGGGTGCGTACTGATGAAGAGTCCCAAACTAGGACCAGTGAAACAGCGGTCTAGTACTCCTAGGTGGTTTTTCAATGGTTCTCTAACCAATGTCAGCTCATGATGAAATCCTGTAACCAATCAGTCTAATCCGTACAAATCAACACTGGAAATCTAAGGTAGGCCTTTCTTTCTGTCCTTCAGGTGTATCTGTTTCGGTATGTAAATATATGTGTAAATGCATATATTTTTAGCTGGTAAGTCGGCGAAGAGTATCTGTTGTCTTTGATTGAAATAAACAATAGTGTGTTCAATAAATAGGAATCAATCTAACCTGGGAAAATGCATTAAGCAGTCATTTCTGAAGTTTATTCTCAGTTATACCAGTATCACTGTTACCTAAAAAATTGGAGAGGGATGAAAACAGCCTTGGTACTTAGTTTTTCTCTTATCTCCCCTAATTTATATGCTTTCGTATAGTGTTGCCACCTTTACTCCACACATAATTTCTGAGAAACTTTGATCACATTACAGATACTGGTACAACGATATTTGAATAAGGCAAGAGCAACAATTTGTGCTTGTGTCAGTGGCTTGCCTGTAGGATGCTCGTCAACCATGCCTCATGTGGTTCAGAGTCGAATTACAGGCCGATGCACTCCTAAATCTTGCTAAGCCAGGAATAAGACCGGTAGAGAGGGAAAGTTGGGCATGAGGCTAGCGATCCCACCCCGTAAAAGTAAAATCACTACTATTGAATCTTCAAAGCTCTGACTTGAAGCCTTATGTTCCACAGGTGACGCAATGGAATTAAAAAAGAATCATTTTTATTTCGTTGACTACTCATCATCTGTTTACGATCTAAAGATATTATTCAGTTTATGTGGAGAAAGAATCTTAACACTTGTAATATT